TAGGTGTTATTGTAAAGAGATTTTTTTTTTTTTTTTAATAAAGCTTGTTTCAGAGTCTAGGTAAAAACTTTGAAATTGTGTGAAAATGGAGCCTTTGTGCTTTGACCCTCGCTGAGAGAGAAAATGTCAGGCTTCTGAGGCATGTTGTATTGGACTGATTTGTAAATATGAGTTTTGGAAATGCAGCACAATAGTCCATCATGAATATATCGGCTCTTACACATCTCACACCATTGTGATGGTTGGACTGTTTTTATTCTCCTGATCAGGAGGCATTGTACTGAGGAGGGAGATATTTTTATTCAGCCTCAGCCTCTCACTGATAACTGGCACTTATAGAAGTGAAATCACAGTCAGAAAAGTGAAAAAGAACATGAAGAAGAGGAGGAGAAGAAGAAAAAGGAGAAAGTATTAGAATAGAAAGAAGTATAAAAAGAAGAAACGGAAGAAATATTTTCAAAAAAACCAAGAGATGATAGAAATAGTAAAAGATAAGGGAGAGATAGAAACAAGTACAGGTGAAAGGAGTATAAAAAGAAAAAGAAGAGATAGGAAAAGAAGTAGAAAAGACCAATCGATAGAAAACAGAAGTTTAAAAAAAGAAAATTAAGGGGAGGATTAAAAACAAGACAAAAAGTTAGAATAACAAAAAGAATAAAGCGGACGAGATACAAAAATGTAGTAGAGAGAGAATAAAAAAAGAAGTATAAAATAAAAGGAAGAGATGGGAGAAGAGTCGAGGAGGAAGTAGAAGTTCACAAAGAAGAAAACAGATCTGTAATTATGTCAAACTTTCCCTCTAGTGTTTATCTCTACATCTGTCTTTGTTTGATTACAGTTATAAAAGCCGGAGCCTCTCTCCGTCAGCCGCCTATCTGCGCGAGGCGTAAAACGATATTTTCTAATGCAAACCAAATATCTGACTAATTAACAGTTCCATCACGTGGCTATATGTCTTTTCGCTCTGCATATTTCTGCCTTCCAGATAGTGATGCAATTAAGCACAGCATTTTTTTCCCTCCACAAAATTGCTTAAGTAGATGTAATTAGTAAGAGAATGTTTTGATGAGGAGACTGGTGCTAATGGAATATATTCTAAAACTTTCAGGCTGGACTTTGGTACAATATGGATTTAGGAAGTACTTGTCCTTGTTTGGTGTTTGATTACAGTTTCTTAAGCTGTGGTTTTTGGAACAGACGTGGGTCATAGGGTTACATTTGGGGTACAGGACTGTATAACAATAATGGTGCTAAATATATGGTGCACTCTGCACTGCGTGGTCTGGAAGGGGGTTAATAGTGACTGACACCTTGTGGCCCAGATCTAACTGTGGTTTCATGCCATAGGCAGCAAAAAAAAAAAAAAACAGTTTTAAATGATTGGACAGCGAGAGGCCATTTTTATAATACAATATAAAAAAACAAAACAGGCTAAAAATGTGAAATTAACTCTGATTTTATTTTGGCTAAAAATGTGAAATTAACTCTGATTGTTGGAGTGCATCGTGAAAAGTGTGTTTACTGAAATGATCGGGTAAAGTGACGGCCTTTATTTCAAAACCTGCCTTGTTGTTGTTGTTAGTTAGTTGTTGTTATTCAGGTGTGTCCAAAGTCTGGCCCTGGGGACAGTCATTGTACTTTTTTTTGTACTGATTTTTTGTTTGTATGTTTGTTTTCTTAAAAGTTTTTTCTTCTTGAAAGTTTGGTGGGATGACTGTCATTTATCTTTGTGAAGAACTTAAATTAGGGCCAGGCAAACCTTTTTCAGGTTAACTCTAAGTGTAAAATGCTCTTTTTTGTGTGTGTGTATTTTTTGTGAGTTCCTTCTGTTCTTTTCATGGACAGCATGCAGGACTAGATCCCTGTGTTCTGGAACTTCACTGCGTCACAGAGAAGAGTTGTCATCTTGACAGAAGCGTACGTCTGTATTAAATACCAATGTTTTAGCAGAAACAATTAAGTTCATTGTTCATTAGTATTATCAAGACTTGATCTCAGAGAAAAGGACGCAGGTCACCTGACCTCATGTTGTGAAATCAACTGGAAATAAACACAGGTTTGTGGGGGGGCTTTTCTTCAGCCCGTAATGGACGGGTTGAGTTAATGTGATTGAATGGTCAGTGGGCGACATGCTGATTGGTTAATCAGCTCACGTGTAGCTTCAGGCTCAGGGGCCATGCTCGTAATTTGTACCTTGTGTGGTGTCAGGGACACATGGACAGGTGAGAAGCGCCTGTATGCCAGTGCTACAAATTCACAGCCAGAGTTAGAAAATAATACAGACACACAACTTGTGAAACTCACTGAAGGAGTCCTTCGTCCAATCAACTGCCATATACTGTAGTGAGAGAAAGAGTCTGTGTTTGCATGAACATCTGTATAGAAACTGGCGGCAGCTTGATGCGTCACAATCACTTCTGATCAGTTACAATGGAAATAAATAATTCATGCTGCAGAGAAAATGAGTCTAATTAGCAGGCAGTTTGGGAGCTTTGATAAAAGTGAGGAGTGATTCGACGAAGGGCAGGAAGCTCTGTCATCAGTCAGCCCTGAACAGATTAGCATCTAATATGAATGAGGGATGAGCATTCTGGTGAAACCGAGTGTGTCCGAGAGACAAACTTAATAACTCCTGCCACGGGACAAACCCCCCCCCCCCCCCCCCCCCCCCAACCATCACCTTCTCCTCCTCCACAGCAACACACACATCCACCCTGCTTTCTTCGTCTTCCTTCTCTCATCCATCTAACGCTCCATCTTTCGGGTCTATTGTGTTCAGGTGGAAGCGCGACTCTCCCCTCTGTCCATCACCCTGACAGCTGTGGAAACACATTGGCCATGCTGGATTAAGGAGCCTCCACACCATTTAACACCACACTTCCATACACAAAAGGAATGCTGGGCACTTTCCTCTCCACATCCTTCCACCAAATCCCCTTATCTCAGTGTGTTATTTCCTCTCCGGGTTTGTTTACAGCACCTTCCCCAGGAATGAAGATGCCCTCAGTGCGATGCAGATGTGAAACCACATTATCCCTCTCCCCTCGCAAGAACAACACAATCGAGGCCAATTAAGACTGAGCGCAGAGCTGGCGTGACACGCAAAGGTCCCTGAATTGGGGGGACAAATGCAGGCAGGGTGGACCTGTCAGCGCCACATCCAGGAAGATAACAATAAACAGCTAATAATGAGACTTAATGAGCTTGATTAAGTTGATTTGTTATGGAAAAAGAAAAGTGCAGCACTGGGTGGATGTAGGCGACGTGATGAGTGATTGATTTTAATGGAGAGGAAACTCTGTTGGGGCCTTGGCGCACAATGGAGCTGCAGAGGGAAAATAAGGTACAAAGGGATGCTGCGGTGAATGGAATCTCAGGAGACATATTTGAGATAATTAGATAAATTTGCAGAAACATAGATCATTCACTCAAGGACATGATGAACATGTAACACCCGGCGTACGGAGGAGTTCGTATGTGCTGTACGTACGGCTAAGGAACGGCTGCTCTAATTATTTCCAACTTACATGTTTCCAAGACGTGCCGTATGTTCATACACTATATGAATGTCGTTAAATGCTATTATGGGAGCGGTAATGACTGCCAGATAATTATCCCTCCTACTCAGACTTGACGGCTGCAGAATTTCTCTCATTTCACCACATAATTGTCTATGATTGAATCGCAGATTTCATATACTTTTCTGTTCTTTCAGGCTTGAGTTGACTTTCCACAGCGATGGCGGAGTTTATCTCAGGGCCCTGAACGCCTCGCCATCAACCCCCATAAACAACGCGCGGTAGTGAGCGTGGAAGTTTTTTCTCTCTCTCTCTCTCTGGCTTTCAATAGGCCTCTCCCATTTTTTTTTCCTTGAAAGCAACAGAAAAGTCAGATGAAGGGAAGTTTAATTAAGTAAGAACCTGTTGAGGAAGATTTCCAATCATGGTCTTCAGAATGAGTGCATTCAGCGTATTCATCTTCAGGCGATACGCTGTCTCTTTATCCAAGTGAGGGCTGGAGTTCTCTAGAGGGACCCCAGTTAATTGAATACATTAAAGCGGAGCGCCGGAGGCTTTATTTATTTTTCTACTTTCCTCAGACTTGTTTAAAGGAGACCAACTGCTGATGTTTGGCCCCGTCTAGAGTTTAAATGATCTCCACACTGGGAGTGGTACACAGGAGTAGTAGTTTGAGCAGAGATGCGATGTAATCCACAGCCTTATTTATTCACCCAGAGCCCCTGAGTGAGTCGAGTTTATGTGTTTGGCACTCGTTCAAATGTGCACCTCGGCCCTGGTGGCTCTGGGTCCCATTATGTATCCATCTCTCAGTTTGTTGCCTGGAATGTTTGCTCACTGCTGTTGCTGCTGATTTGCTCTTATAAATAATGTTTATTACATGAAACATAAAAACCTTGAAGGTGGAGGCAGCCGAATGTGCATCTGCCTCCCTCTCCTGCTGGGGGTGCTGTAAACACTTGAAACATTGTTTTACTGTATTTACACCTAATCACGAGGCTCAGAAGCAACATATTTAGACCAGGAGATTTGCAAGAGCACGTTGGATATGATGACAGACAAGTCAGTCAGTCAACGGAGTTTAATCATAGCAGGACAGAGGTGGCGCTCTTCTTGCTCATACTGTAAAATGTAGTCTTCTACAAAGTGGAGTTTCCAAACACAAAACAATAACATATGTGAATTATTACTGGTATTTTTTGTTGTTTTATTCTTTTTCATAAGTAATTCTTTTTCCAACTTTACTAAAATTCCATTTTTTTCTACAGACGGTAAATTAATGTGATTTTAACCCCAGTACTGACAGTACTTTATATTCACATTTCAGGTTTATTTTAAATTATAGTCTGTGTATCATACAATTTAAATATTTATAAAACAATGTTTAATATTGAAAGTTACTTTAATATGCCAGTTTTGGGCCATAATTGTCAACTTTACAACCATTTTAAAATCCTTTTTATTTATGTTTGTCTGTTTCAGTGCAAATGTGTCAGTGAGAGCCTGACTTTAAATCATCTGACCCAGAGAAGACTGAACCTGGATCAGAGGTAAGGTGAAAGTGATGGAGCAGATTCTTAAAAACACACAGCCTGACTGGCGAAGCCTGAGGTATTAACATGATGTGATGTGTGAAATCCAGACGGTGGCTTCTGTCCCCAGAGGACACCCGCATCAGATTCTCGGACGGTGCTCATTAGTCAACGTGCTCTTCACCTCCGTCGTCACATTCATCACGGCGACACGGAGAACTTACTTGTACAGGAGCATTAGACGCTCATTAATAACATGCTACTACATTTATCTTGCTGGACGGAAATTAATCTCCTTTCTGTGCAGTTCACTCCTTCATCCAGTCGTCAAAAAACATATCCTTTTATCTTGGTTTTAGCTTTTAGCTTTGTTTGAGTACAATCGAATTCAGAACAACGATAATCCTCGATATCTCCCCAAGTCCGCACGAACGAACAAGGGTTTTGTGCATTTTGTGAAAAGAATAAAAACAAAAGTGCTTTTATTAATTGGCTGCATTTCAACGCTGATATGTGAAACACTGTGATTTAAAAACCAGGATGTCCTTTGATGAAAAGAGAAATAAAAGACTAAAGTGAGGCTTTAAATGAACAAGGTGATTAAGAGCCACTTTGTTAGACATTTATGTAGCAGGACTGCACCTAATGAATAAAGATTCATACCGCAGGTCCCAAATTTAAATTTTTTACACAAAATGTGCCGGATGTCGGCAGCTTTTAATCACCTCACTGACAGGAGTAACTGCTTTCATTTAACCTTGAGTGAAGATCATGAATTCTAAAGCGTTTAATTGGATACATCATTTAACAGAATGAACAGAGCAAATTTTCACCAATTCAAAGGCTGGGATTGACAGACAGTGGCAGTAAGACCCACCACAATTAAAGCTGATCTGTATTCACTGGCCCTGTCACCCACTGCTATTAGTGATGTGACTGTTTGATCATCTCCGCACTGAAACTTTGCTGAACTTCACCTTGTTTTGAAAGGACTCCAGGGTGAATGAAAGGCAGCGTAGGTTGAGTAGGTTGATACGCTCTGAGGGCTATAGACACATGCACAGCCACGTTCAGGCGCCCTTTACACACGTATACCGGTACATATGGCTAACGGCGACCAATTTTTCAATAATCTTTTGTGGGGTCAATGATTGAACAAAATTTGCATCCATTAAAAAAAAGTGATGTAAGAAAAAGTGATTAATTTTTCAAAAATATCCAAGATCTAAATTGACTATAGCCTAGCTAGGGAGCAAAATGCCTTGTTTTTTTAATATAATTAATTATATTATATTAATTATAATCATGTGTTATCCAGCAGACACTCAACATGTGTATGATTATAATATAGAGGAGTATTAACTTTAAGTGGACCAACATCAAAAGCAAATTCTGGCTGTTGGAAAATTGGTTGGAAACTAGTAGGAGTATTAGCCATAATAAGCTAACAATTTCATAATAATAGTTAAATAATACCGCACATTGTATTCTCTTGATAAATTGGTTGATTATTACCAAGAGGATACCGACAATCTACAAGGTTAACTTGTAGCTTTAGCTTGTCCAACCGGCTAACCTTTAGCCCAAAATAACTACAAGTTAGCCAAAAATAAAGCTTAACATTAATGAAAGGATAAATAAAAAACACAATAAACAAAATACTTGAAAAGAATACTAAATGCCGCTATTTTAAACATAGCAAAACTGTTTATCATTAAGTAAAGTAGACATAAGATTGCTGGAAAAGTCTCTGTTAAAAGAGATATTTTATCTCAACTGTTAATGTACACGGCAGTGTCACACTGTATGTATAAACTGATACAGTGTTAAGTTTTAAACACACACACCCCAGAGGGCAGATGTACTTCCTGTAAAAATAACAGCAAACATCCTGTAAATGGACTCGACAGCTCAACTTTCACATTATTATGTTTGTTCTCCATCAGTGGCGAAATTGAAATGTTTCAAAATCCTGAAATAACGCCGTCTCTCTGAGACAGTGGATGTAATGACATTGTCTCGTCAGTCGCTCTCTGCAGACAATTGCCCCAGTGATGTGAAGAACTGTGTCAAGTGGTACACAGTGAAACACGGGAATGAAGTGTCTCCCGCACATTTAATTGTTTTGCTACTTTGACTTCACAGAGAGCGAATATTCAATCTGCGTGCCAGACATTTCCTCTGTGACTAAGCCCAACCAGCCAAAGTATGTTTGGTTAAGCAACCGGCCCCAGGGTTAAATCTCATATTTGGCAATTACATTTTTTTTCATAGCACATAAATGCAACACGTTATTTAAATGAGATTATATAGCTTTGGGATGTTTCTGTTAACCAGATCCATGTACTTGTTCTCAAAGTGAGGAGCGGGGAACCCTCTGGGCCTGATGGAGTGCCCTGGGGGCCCCCAAGAAAAAATGAAATGTAGATTAATTTTTCTTATTTCTAACTAGCAATTTTACTCAATTAAAATAATTAGGAAGTTTTCAGGTCATCACCCAGACATCTCTATACTGAATAGGAAACATAATGTAAAGAAAGCAAAAATAAGAAGAATTTAGGACAAAACATAATTCAAATGTTGTTGAATTAAAATGCAATATGTAGAAAAAGATTGCAAAAAAATATGATGTCAGAAAAATATATATACATATGTAATAAAAATGGAAGCATTGTTAGCTAAACAATGTGTTACAGAAACAGGCAGAAACTACATTTTAACATTTGTGTTAAAATAACACAAAAATATAACAACAGAAGCAAAATCTAGTTAACAGGAGCAAAATTAATGTAGAAAAAGAACATTTTTCGAATGTTAGCCAAATGGTTAGCTGTTAAATGGGAAGATAATAGCCAAAAAAGATAAGAAATTAAAATATAATAAAGACAAGGTAAACAACAATAATAAAAAAGATTGATACAAATAAGTAAGGCCTGAACGCTAGCACAGACGATGCTAATACAATGTTTTGATATAATGACAAAAAATGGCCTCATCTTGGCCATAAATAGCTGTTAGTAATAATAATATGAGTGAAAAGTGAATTTGCATAAAATCAAAGCATCAACAGCTCCAGACACATCTCAGATCGAATGCTTTCATTTTATCCTCTCGGGAGGGGAAAAAAATATTGTTTTCCAACTAGTGCGATGCACACTGGTCTGTTCCAGCTGGAGATGATCAGCACTGACATTTTGGAACAGAAGAAAAGCGTGTTCAAGGAAATGCAGATTGAGGAGAACAAATCCAATCCACTCAAGTGTTGTTCATTCTGCCCCAACGCAATACAAACCATGTGTGTTGCTTTTAAGTGGTGAAAATAATGGTAAGATTACAGAGTGGTCCCTGGTGTTAATTGTCTAAGAGCTGTTTTTCTTTGGCTCCCATTAATTCTGCTTTTTAGGAGATTGGCCCTGGATGTTTTAACTGGATTTTGTGAACTGTTAGCTTTGGGAGACACTGTTTGATGGCAGACGTAATGAGGGAATCATCATTTCAACATGTGTGGTGAGACGGAGCTGGCAAATGTTTGCCGGGACAGCTGTCCTGACAGATTTGAAATGTTAAGAAGTTTGTGCAGCCTTGGAGAGAGAAGCACTCACTGCTGCCTTCTCTTCTCAGGCTCAGTCTGACGAGGAACGAATGTTGCATTCAGGAATCCTGTGTTACATCATTACCTGCTCAACAAACATTTATCTCACAAGCAGGAAAAAATCTGCTGGAAATGTTTTTTTCCTCACCTTTGCCAAAATCTGTGCTCAGTGTGTGACGTCGTTGGCTTTCAATATTTGTTAAACGTGTCTGCTCTATTTTGTATTGTTAATATAAACTCAATATGACAGTAATAGTTAATACATTGTCATTTTTCATTTTTAGGAGGATAAATCTTTTTTTTTTTTTACCTGAACATTTTCTGTCAGAAATTAAATGCAACATTCGTCTGCTTCATGTGGGATTTTGCACTCACTCTCTGTAGAGAAGAGTCTATATATGTGGTGGTGAATCATATACTGTATGTTACAGCAAATGTAAATGTGCTGTATCTGAACTATTGAGATTATAAATTCCAGTTTAAAACCCTTAAGAAGAAAAAACAACTGTGAGGAAAGAGTAAATAGTAAAGCATGAAGTAATTTTTTTAAGATTGTTAGAGAGAAAAAGGCTTTAAAAAGTTTGAAAATGTAGGTTTTTTAGGGCAATTATAAGTAAAATCAGTTACTATCTTACAGATTTTAGTTTTTGATCCTAAAATGGTGGTTTATAACCAAAGTCTTCTTCAGTCATCTCTCTCTCTCTCTCTCTCTCTGTTGACTCTGTCTTTGTGATAAATGTTGACTGGAGGGTTAGGTTTTATTCTCTCTGACACTGTTTATCACTCTTCAGCACCTGACCTTGTGCATGAATACACACTGGGGTAAGGTGACGTGTGTTTCATGTCATACTGATTCTGTTTGGACAGCGTCACACTCAGTGTGTCCACTTTAGCCATAAGTTGCACGCTGCTCCTCTGTTCCCCCAAACTCACGGCCGGCGATGAATCGTGCGTGTGGTGAGACTCTGAAGGAGAGCGTTAATGAAGTAAAAATTAATGAAGCACATGAGCAGCACCATCTAAAGGCTGTAAGCCCCTCCATGCCCCATTTATAATGTATGAACTCAATAAAATCAATCCAATGTACCAGGTCTCACTTACAGGGTAAGAATAGATTTACTGATTACAGCCCTGTGCTCCCCCGCTCATAATTACCCCCCACTGCCACCGCACCTTCTTACCCCACAGTCAGAAAGAGGACTGCTGGACACAACTAGAGAACAATGTGAAGAGTTTGTGAAAACGGCAGCCACTGTGGCCTCAAAACCACTGTGGACATAAGACATCTTTTTTTTTACCTTTTATTTACATGAAATTCAACAGGAGACGTGCAGTGGAGCTCTGTCACTTTTCTCCCTCAACCTTTAGGACTATCTAAAAGTTTTAGAGTCCAGGCTGCAGCAGCTCTCCTGTATTAGAGCTCCCCCTTCAGATCTTACCAAACACTACGAACGACGAGATTAAAGCCTCCCTGATGGGATTGTTTATTTACTGGAATTTAAATAGCATTATTCCGAAGATAATGGATGGATGTTAAGTAATTATTTGAAAATATTTTAAACAACAGTGATAAGTGCCCTCCTACAATATAAAAGAAAATAAATAAAAATAAATCATGTATATATAGTGTTATGTCAATTCCTCTAAATATTTTTTATTCACATTTCTTAGTGAGTGGTTTAGAGTGGTGGGTGGTGTGATGTGCCATTATTTTTCTATGTCTCGTAGGGTTCCCGAAATTTCTCAAGGGCTGCTGGTTCATCATGCAAAGATATTTATATTCTATTTTCCTTTATCTTATCCTACTAGTTTCATATAGGAGACATTTTGTTGCTGAAAAATAAATAATCCAACATGTCTTAAACTTAATCTTTAAGCAAGATTTTTTTTTAATTATATGTACAAGAGCCTATGAGCATTTAAAAAAAATAGGACAATTTGTGTAAAAAATGAACTAATGCAGTTACTGTAACAGTGTTTCATGATCAGCTTTGTGACTATGTCTTGAATCCAAAACTGTCTTTAATAAAACTGAGCAAAATGCTCTGATTCTGTTTGCCCTGAAGCTGCCGTCCAAATGTCCACAATCACTGTTTTACTCAATTGATAACAATTCTGTTTTAGCTAAACCTATACAGACAGGGGACTTACATATGGAAAAAAGAACAAGAACTGTGGAGCTCAGCTTCCTGATGTGCCTCCACCTCCACCTCTTCGAACAATTCTGTATTTATAATGTCATCTTATCAAGCTCCCCTTGAAGGCAGCAGCAAGTGCACTTATGCCTGCCTTTGTTAGGGTGAGTTGGCAATTTCCTGGGAGATGGAGCTACTGCAGGCAGCCCCTTTTCTTTGATAATGTCCCTGACACCTGGACCAGACTGCTGTTTCCATCACTTTGCAGGCAGGAATAGGAGGAAAGGAACATGTCATACAGTTGCTGCCACCCGGAGTCACTCAGTGTGCATTTAACAGCACTCTCCTCCACACACTCCTGCAGGGTGTGGAGGTCAGAGAGCCAGGGGAGAAATTCTTGAGTGGACAGTTGTTTTAAACTGTGTCAGAAATGTTCTGTTTACTGCAATTTAACAATAAAAAACCTACTGTTCATTTTCTTTTTAAATATGTATATATAAATTAACTTTTATTGTGGTACCGGAGTGCTTTCATACACACTGTTTAAAGCTGGTTAATAAGCACAATAGCCTGAAAGGCTGTTTATTGCAGAGACTTGACAGGCTGATTGTGAATTATAATTAATCAGTTGATTTTGACCCACAGATTGTGATTGTGCCCTGTGAGTTTCATTTACTCCAGCTTTTCTTTCTGGCACGGCTACAATCACCGCAGACCTGCAGGACTCTTCAGGCAAATTAGCAGCCTTCATGCTACCCTGCAGCCATAATGAAAATATCAGTCAATCAAAGACTAAACTATGCTGGGAAATCCAGGCACATATCTTCAGAGCTGCGAGTAGAAACAGCAGAGTGAATGTCAGACACGTCTCAGCTTTTGTGACTGTGCAGTGCAGTAGGTAATATTAAAATAAAGTCTTGTAGATTCTCTGCTGTGTTCACTGTAATAAAACTGATAAAATGCACTAAGGACTCTATAAAAGTGCAGGTTGGAGAGCAAAGCATTCTGGGATATGTGGGGGCCATCTGCAACCTGTCTGCAGGACCACTGATGGATTACTGCATGCTGGACGAACACAGTCTGAACTGTATGCTGCTGCTCACTGTGCCATGGCACTCAGGGCACTTCAAACCCCCCAGACCCTCCTCACAGGTACCCCGCCGCCGCCCGCCACCACACGCTACTCATTTACTGCTACACTGGTTTTCATAATTAGCGCCGCAAGGCCTCATTAAATCTGCTCTAATGAATAAATATTGTATTTCATAGCCTGATTACCAGATCAGCTCAATGCTGGAGCGTTGTAAACAATTACTGCCCTAAATATTCATCACCCCAAAGTGGATGATCGTTGGTATTTAATACAGGACTAGCACTCTCAAGTGCATCTTTATTATACTAATAACAGTTTTGAAATGTTCTGTATAGGGACAAGAAATTTCATATATCTATGATTTATGTTTAAATATCATATTTAGTAAGGTGGGACCTATCAGTGTCCAGTGGTGAAGTTGCATGTGGTCGTTGTCTTATTCGTCCCCATCTAAGCATTAAGCTAAGGCTGCCATGGTGGATCACCTTGTGATCCAAAGTAAACCAGAAACTGTATAAATTTGTTATTTTTATTTACATACATTTTAATAATCATTTTGTGTTTGTGTGGAGTGGATATCTTCTGTACTATATAGAAGATATTTTTGTTTGTTTGTTTTTTTAACTCAGGTGTTACTATGTTTCTCCTCATAAACGAGTATTTATACATCATCCAACTCTGATATATTTACGTCACAAATATGCAACTGAAAAGGAGAAAGAAAGAAAAAACCTAACGGTCGCGAAGGCGTTCGCCGCGGGCTTTAAGCCACAGGTGTTCGACGTTATTAATGACAGCTCAACCTGGTCCGGATGAAATGCCGAGATAGAACGGAAGGTGAAGGAGTTTTTATTCCATACTGTTGGCATTTTGACTCGATGTGTTCATGCTAGCTAAATAGCTTAGAATTGACACGAATTGGAAGAAAACTATTTAAAAATGGCTTAACCCTGTGTGTTAGAATATGTTAAGAGAATGTGGTTACTCATTCACTCGTGTTTTACCGTTGAGTGTTTCTAATACAGCTTCAGTGGATTATCCTGTACATTTCCAAAATAAACTGTTTACAGTGTATTAAACCTGTATTCAACAAATGTTTGAAATGAACAGATACGTTGCGGTTTCTGCGCTCGGAGACCAGGTGGAACTTGTCTGGCGTCAGAGTAAACTATCACTGAAAGACGAGGTGAGTGATCTGTGGAGGCAAACTCGGGGTTTCTGTTTAATCAGAATGTATTTATTTAACCATTGTGCTCACAACAACAGCTCAGTACTTTTGTCTGACTTTATTTTCTAGATTGATCATCCTGAAGCTCTTCAACACAGTAAGGAGCGTTTTTTCTTGTTCTTCATGGCCGCTGTGCTTCATTAGGCTGCCATCCTTACATCTTGTGTTTGAATGTGTTGAACATGATAAAACAAACAAAAATGGCCTCTTGGCTGCCATGCCTACCTGTCTCCTATCTGCTATGTCCCAATGTAGCCATTAACTAGTCTCTAATGAACATTTTACTTTAAATTTAGAGTTCACTGACAGTTTGTATAATAGTAATTCTAAAGTTTTGGTGTCCCGTTTGCGGTCGTTTTCCACCATCATGGACGTTGCGGTCATTTTCCACCATTTTGGTGTCCCGTTTGCGGTCATTTTCCACCATCTTGGACATTGAAGTCATTTGCGACTACTTTGATGTCCTGGTCCTTTTCCACCTTTTTGGACTTACTGGTTGCTGCCCAGAGTGACTACCTGAGTTTCAGCTACATTTACCAACGTGGATGTCCAGGACCCTAAGTCATGTAAATGTTTGTTACTTTGTACGTATGTTAATGTATACATGTAAATGTTTTTGACTTTGTACTTTGTCAATGTATACCTGTAAATGTCCTTGTCTATAAGACTTTTGTGGATGTACATTCATACTGTATGTTTACTGTCTGTTGCACCACTGGTCTTGTTTGCATGACCCTCAGTGTGATCACCTTTATCTGCATTTGACATTTTGGGTGAGTTTAGGGCTGGTCGATTAGCAGCATGACATTTCATGGATAAGATTTGGTTTTTCACATTACTGATGACTTAAGCTAAATGCTTGATCTCAGATTTATTTTTGTTTTACTTTACAATCTGTCAGAGTTTAATGAGCTTCACGTCACTACTTTCCTTCTTCCACCATTTCTTAGTGCTTAAGAAAATCCAGTCATGAATTACTGACTTACTGAGTAAGGCCATGGATGGAGTTTCCAAAATCAGACATTGATCCATCTCCTTTTGTAACCTGGTCCATCCATGGTTCAACATCATCCTACCAACCGGTCAATGTGAAGAACAGAATAGATGAAGATCTGGTTTGTTATCAAGTGTTTGTAGTTATTTCATCAGTAGCCTTTTGACCACATCAAGGACTGTACATGAGCAGCCATGCTGGTTCAGTTCATGATCACTTTGTTTGTTGTTTTAGTTGGGGTGGAGGTCCAGGGTAAAATAAAAATGTATTTTTACAAAAACATGTAAAATAAACTACATAAAACAAATTTAACATGATTGCAGCATCTCTCTTTACTTCCTCTATAGCAATAAGTCCAAGAATAATAAAAGACAAAATTTGCTAACGTGTGTTTCTCATGAAACTAAATACCCAGACACTGTCCTCAAGTGTTGGTGCTGTCCATCAGCTGTTGTAGACAGAAAATGTTAATCTGAGCCCTGAGAATTTATCATTTTCCTCTTGAATATGTTTATTAAATCCACACTTGCCTGCTACAGCCTGGATCCTAATTCAGGACAGGAGTTGTTTAATCTGCTGCCATTAGCATTTACCTCATTAACTCATAAATTGATCTCTTAATAGTAATGGTGAAATATCTATATAAAGAAGTATTAAGTCTCGAGTTGGCAGTTTTATTTAAAACTATAAGAGCAAAAACTCCCCACATTTATGAAATTGGGTGACATTTTGGAAAATTAACTGCTTGTCAATGTGTGTAATTAATCAATTTAGCAAAGGCTCTAAAATTAGGGATAAATATTCAGTTAGCATTGAAATGACAGCCAGCAGTTTTCCTGTGTTGATACAGTGAGGAGAACTCATAAGTATGATGATGACTCTGAAAATAAATATATAAATACTTAATATTTGTCAAAATCATTTATATTGTATTAACTATCAGTGGTTATCATAGTGACAGTTTGTTTGATTTAATGAAATAGTTGTATAAATCTGCTTTTCTTTGGTCATACCTACACCTCTTCCTGATGTAAAATAACTTTGAATGTGCTCTACAGTTTTATTGATAACAGTTTGTTTGATTAAACCCTAACATGTGGTTTAACACTAACATAATTACATCCTCATTGCTTGTCTAAATAAGCTTATGTGCTTTTTGATTCCACAAAAGCTTGCCTTTTTTAATCAAGTTCTGTAAAAACCTGATTTAAAAATAAAAAAAATGATGACCTTGTAAAGAGGGATTGTCAACTTTTTAACCAGATTAAATGACATGTACCCTTTTAAAGATGTGCAACCGATGTCCACGGGTGATGGAAACGTTAACCAGTTCTTTAGATGTTCAATTATCACCATTCTGAATTTCTCTTCCTCCATGTTTCAATAACAGTAATTACAGCTGCCAGTGTTGGTGGTGGAGGGCTGGTCAGCTCACAGGAAAGTGATAACACAATTGTGCAGTGATTAATGCTTTAATGAGATTGTGCAGTATAGACAACAGGCACCAAGAACAAACTGTGACACAGCTTCAAACGTGAACAGCAGTTAGACAACGTGTACGTCCTCACAGTAGGACTGGAGCCTCAGTTACTGACTGCTCTGAAACTGAAACTGAACTGTAAATGCAGGGCAGTAGAGGTGAATCATGGCACCAAGATGAACGACACATGGGTTAATACTGTGTCATTTTCTGTATAGCTGAGCGCTTGTGAACACCTTCGGCTACTTCACAGTGGAAGGGCAGAAAATGAGGCTAAAAGAGAATGAAGCAGAGCCAGAACGTTCTTGAACTGCATTGCTTGATTTACAGGTATGCCATTAGAGGGTTCTAATTGTTTCCACACCATTAGCGACAGTTAGCTAATGAAGGATATTTAACTAGACACTGGGGTATATACAGTATGTATGTATATATCCCATAGAGCTCTGGGAGCTCTGTGAGCAGAAGGCACTGGACCCGGTCTGTAGGCTTTTCCATGTGCATCTCAACAGCAGATTACAGGGTAACTTTTACAGGAGCCTCGCTTCCAACAGAAAAGCTTGCCTTTGTTTCCACGGGTTTCAGATCAAACTATGAAATGCATCAGTTGAGAACAGTACAGACTAGAGCTGTTGTTTCATATAGACATATCTGTTCAAACTAGGTGAGAATTGAAAGAATTGTGATTTTAGTATGTGACAAAGGGTAGGTGTTATGTGTGTTGTTGGAGCCTAGGGGAATAAATCTGAAGGATGCACTCTAAGTAGAGTTGATACATTTAAAACAATGTAAAAATATAGTACAGTAGATCATTTGATTATTACTGGAATGTTTCTGAAGCAGCAGCAGCAGGGGGGAATGGAAAGGAATGTAAATCACAGAACAATCATATAAAATATTTACACTTTGTAGATGTCAAAGGTCAGCTTCTCCACTCTGGTTCACTTTCAACAAATCTTGATACAAGGGCTTGAAGTTATGAAGACTGATCCTCAAAAAACACAAGTGAACCGTCACCGTTAATATAAACCAATTTATACTGACTGAGTTTCAGAGAGTAGAAGAAAACATTCTAAGAGTTTCTGCTGGGAAAAGTTGTCTTAGTCATGTCAGTCAGGTCCAGGAACTGTTTCTTTGTCCACCCTTCACTTGGTGGTTTCTTCAAGTTCCTTTTTCAAGCTGTAAAAATATAAGTGAGGAAATGTAACTAGAGTGTTGGGAAGTCACATGAATTTGATAGAAAACAAGAGAAGAAATGCTTCACACCTTTTCAGATAGGCGTGCACGTTGTCAAAGCCGTGGTATTTGGCCAGATAAACCAGCACTCCCGTGGCACAGCGGCCTTCTCGTGCACGACAGAAGCTGCAGTTACAGATCCCTCTGCATGGGGGGCACACCCAGTCCTATATGGAGAACAAGCGAGTGGGTCTGAGCAACATTTCTTTGTTGTTTCCTTCTTGGCTCTTCTCTCGTCTCTGACTTTATTGCACTAACTACCATATTTAACACTTTTGTGGACATTTGTGGACTCACTGGATCAAGCAGAGCATCTCGGACCTCCTCCCCGTAGCGGTTTCGGAGACACGGTCCGCAAAACTGCCCCCTGATTCCCTGGCACTCAGGATTACGGCAGTTGGTTTTGGTGTCAGTTGTTTTCTGCCGACACTGGTGGCAGGTGGACCCCTGAGGGGAAAAAAAGATTCAACATCTTGAGTCACAGTTTCACAGACAAAACACAGCTGCGTAGTTGTTTTTCTTCAGTGTAATAAACATGTGGACTTACAGTGGAGCCGTTGTAAACCTTTTCTCGCACATTCATGCAGATCCTCTGCAGCTCCGCTTCAGTGATGTCCTCCACGGGCCGCACCACGTGGGGGATGGCTTTGGAGCCGTTGCAGACTCGACGACGAGGCTGTTTGAGAAATAACGTTATTTTGCAAATGATGATTATAGGATTTGTCTCAATGGACTTTACAATTTCAAAATAAAAAGATTCCTCCCCAAAAAAATTAGGAATATATATAAAAAGTTAATATTAACAAAAGGCAAAACAGAATAACTTTGATCTGAAATGATTACAATAACTCACTGGTTCATCCACTTCCTCGTAGTAGCGACTTTTGCGGACCAGGCTGAACTTATCCTCAGGTTCCTCTTCGTCTGGGGTAGGGCTGGGGGGTCCGTCCACCAGGGTACGGGACCGTGTGTGTGGTCGGGAAAGACGATGTGGGTTCTTCCTGCATGATCCCGGTGTTCCTATAGACCGTGGTGCTCGTCTGGGCTGGGGATGATAGAAGATGAACAGCTAATCAAGACTTTTGCTTTTTTTTTGTTTTATTTTTTACTTTTGAAGGAAAGTATATACAGGATAGTAATGTTGTGTGGAGTAAACTTACTGTAGAGAGAGCAGACATAGTCATTCGTCCTGGGAAGAGTCCAGAGACTTTGTTCAACTCTGCCATCAGTTTGGCGAGCTATTGAAGAAATGAACAGATGTGTCATATTTTAATAATGTGATTACAGCAGTAACCTGTAACTTTAACTCATCTTAAATCTTCTTGATTTCAGCATCAGCATTTTCATCACACTACTTGTTGCACGTTATTAGACACAGTTAGGCGATCCTAATTAGATACACACATCAACGTGTAAGTCATGTCTGCAAAATGTGACATGTATCATGAGAGTGTTCAGTTGTTGTAGTTGTGTGACCAGAAAGATGGATAGGTTTGTTAACAATAAATACGTACAGTTTCTTTGTACTGTTTTCTTGTACTGGGCTAGAAGTGTAAAGAAATATCTATACACTGCTGACATTGCCCCTCCCCTCACCCTTCTCCCGTCAGGCACAAACACAGAGGAGCGGCCTTTACCATTTCCTTGTTCTCTTTAATATTCAACGCTCTCTTGGCCATGAAGTCCTCCTCCTCTGACTCAGATTCACAGACTTTAGGCTGAGGCAGAGGTTCTGAGGCGGGCCTCTTCTGTCCCTGCTTCCTGGTGGGGAATGTCATGGCCACTTTTAACCCCGCAGACCTGCGACCTCGTCTCGGTGTTTTGGTGTCCACCTTCTGAAAGAAGATTAGATCTGGTTATGGGAGACCTTTGGAAATTCATGAAAGATTCTTTGCACCTAAACCAAGAAAACTCACCATAGACTCCATTTTGCTGTTGATTATAATTTCTTCAGACCCGCTGCATGTGTCCTCCTCAGAGGTCACTTCAGACACTGCAGGTTTCACTGCTGTCTTCCTTGGTCGTCCAACACTTCTCTTCTACAGACACAGTAAAGTGTCACAGACTTTAAACTTCAATGCAATTAGGATCAGGCAAATTATTATTGTGACTTTTATATTTACCGTATTAGCAAATCCTCCATCAGAGCCAAAACTATCACAGCTGTCCTCAGACGCTGAAGAAGAAGTCTCCATCTGAACAAGTGGAACGTTGCGAAAGCTTCTCAAACTCCTCCTGCTGGATGGAGTTGGCTGGACAGCCAGTTTCTGTAAAGAATACCACTTTTTAAAATATATATATATATATATATATATATTGATTTAAAGAGTAAAGTTTTATTCAAACGGTGCTGGTTCTGCTTCTTTGGCACTAAACATTGATAAAGGTCACGAGTGCAGGATGTGGGTAAGAACTGGTAAAACCTGCAGAGCAATAGAGTTCTAAAACTCCTACTGGAGTGAGGCTCAGATCTCATCACAACTGGTTTAATGACGTTTCAACTCCTCAGTTATTTGTTCTATAAAATGTCAGAAAGTCTTGATGAAATTTTTAAACCCACACTTGCACATAAAAACCCCAGGGACCTCAGTTTAACAACTATAATACTTTTAATTATCACATGTTAGAGTCATGGGTTAATTGAAAATATCTTTAATTTAAAAAAGAAGGCCATTTAATTATACACGTCTCTATCAGTGGACTGATGTTTGAGTGTTAACTTTTGAGGACACACCCCTGTCTGAGAGGGGAGAAAAATATAAGCCTAATGTGGGTAACTGGGTCATGCATATGTTCATTTACCTATTCTTATAATTAAATTAAACTAAATTAAAACATATTACACATTAACTTTTAGAATCGGCCGTTGTAACAGTTTTTTTCTTAGCAAACAATGTGGAACGTGGTCATTAAAATAGTTTGATATATAACTTGATATTAACAAACTTTATACACTTTAATATTTACAGAAATAAATTAAAATCTGCAACTATGTGTAATGTTGTCTTACCTGTGAGCGAGTGCGAATCATTTCCCTCTTTTAGGTAAAGTCTCGTTGCTCAGTCACAGAGAGAGTGAATCTCAGTAGTTCTGCAGTAACAATGCTGTGGATCCTGCAGCTCCACACAAGCAGGACACCCGCGCTGCGTTCGTTTCCCGCGCCACCCGAAGGTCCTGGAAGATTTGTTAAAACTGTTCAAGTTTTATAACCGTTAAACATATTTAATAGAAACGAAAACACCTTCAACATAATCGTACCTAAATCTGCATCCGCTTGTCATGACACTTCTATTTTTTAACCAGCTAAAATGTCTAAACAACACGATTCCATAGGTCCTTCTTCAGCGTCTCTTCAATGACCTGCGCAGCGGCGCGATTTTTTTTGCTCCCTTTTAGCATACAAGGCGGGTAAAATTCGGAAGTATTTCCAAGTAGATGCACAGGTCAAATATAGACAGATAACAGATTAACTGTTCAATAGTGATGGTCTTTTTTATGAGACGGGAAACAATTAGAAACACAGACGGCAGGAGTTGGTGAGCAATAGAGATTTATATGCAGTCTTGTTAATTACATTTTTATTGCTTTCTTGTGGCAAAGTCTTTAAATATATATTTATATATATATATATTGTGCAAAGAAAATGTAGCATTTTTTGTTGTAATTTTTGTCAGGCCCCACGTCAGAGATATAAATCCAGGACCTAAAATCCAAGTCTGGATTTGGAATTTTAAAGTAAAAGCATTACGTGACTTATATAATTTATATTTATAATATATTCTGATTGAGCGTTTGTTCACTCAGTCACTGATATATCATAAAATCTATTAAATGCACATTTTGAGAAATAATATTAAATGTAGAGAACAACATTTCTCCTGTGATAAATGCACATCAGAAACACATTGTGTTAAGTATAATAAGGCTAGCCACAAGAAGTGCTAAATACAGTCCAATGTCTTTTTTTATAATAAACACAAAATGAGATAACAAAAGACAAGAGACAATATATATATATATATATATTTGAGGAGGCCTAAAGTGATTATTATTGCAGTCCTTAGTGATAGATTAGGGTTTATTTATATTCAGGGTAGGGACGTGATGATGCATCGTAAATCAGTTAAAAATCAATACAAATGTGTGACAGTTCGCATCGGGTGAAATAAAAATTAATTGTGCATTAAGGAGTAGGCTGCCTTATCTCAAAAAGTCACTAGTCATACCATGACACTACACACTCTGGTGCAGTATGTGGCGATATGCTGTTAAAACGTTGGTTATGACCCACTATTAAACCAAGCCTCAGGTCCTGGTAGTCTAAGTGACATTCAGATATTCAAAACAGAATTTTCATCCACAGACACAAACAGTGTTTTACACTGTTTGTGTAAAGAAAGGACAGTTTTTTTCAGTTAATATTTTTTATTTTCATTCTTGTTTTTTATATTTACAGTCGTACAAGCGTCGTTAATAATGCCAGACCAGTTTTATTTTTAAGAGATAAATGGTAATGTGCAGTATTTCTCTAAAGAAATGCGTATTTCTGTTATTCAAGATAACATCAGTTCATGAGGTACACAAGAGCATTTCAGTTATAAATAGTACTTTGCATAGTTTTTACAAATAAAGGATCATTGCATTTGGTCATAATTTGGTGAATCCTATTATAACGTCGTTACATCCCTAATTCAGGATCATCGTATGGTCCGCTTAGTTTAAAAAATACAAAAATGTAATTTTTGACATGTATAAAAATAATAAGCAAAATAATTTTGCTCATTTAAAAAACAAAAAAGAGTGTTATGAGGCTGACATTTATACATTATAAGCATCAGTTTGACTCTTATAATATTTGGGTTGGTAGCAAATAAGTAGACAAATGAAAGTCAGAAAGCCATTTCCTTGCAGCCACTTTCAGTGTATATATATGGTAGTCAGTTCATGTGTGTCCCACATTAACTTCTCCCTCCACCTCCACGCCCTCCCCTGCCGCCTCTCCTGGGTCGACCTCTGGCTTGTTTATTGTCCTGACGTGGTAATTTTTTCTGTCGCTCCACTTTGATCCACCCTCCATCACTGGCTTTGGCCCCGTTTTTATCCTCACTGGGGATTTCTGTCACAGACGATATACCTGGTATCGTGGAGGGGCGGGTCGCTGTGGTGACACTGTAACTGTTGGACCGTGGCCTCCCAGGCTGCCGAGAGCTTTTGCTGCTCTTATTGTAAGCATGGCCTCGACTGTTGATCCACGCCTGACCCGTGCCCTGTCCCGTTCCCACAGTTAGTGTGTTGCCAAAGTAGTGGTTTCTGCTGCGGTCGTTCACTGCACTAGCGCTGAGTGGACGCTTTATCTCCCTCTCTGAGGCGCTCTCTGACGTGGTGCTGGAAGGGCTGCTGCCCTTCGACCCCAGCTGGAGCATTGACAGTTTGGATGACAGGCTGGTGGTTGGTGAGGAGCTGCGTGAGTCGTTCCAGGGAGACACACTGAGGCGGTTTGGAGAACGTCGCACAGCTGCGGCGTAAGAAAACTCCTGGCTTTCATGAGCAGACAGGAACTGAGGCAGTGTACGAGCCTCAGAGCTGGTGAAGGTGGGCTGAGCTGGAGTCCGCTGTGGAGATTTTTGAGTCTGCCTTAACCTTACATCGTACATCCACAGAGGATCAATATCTGAAACACAAGATACCAAATACTAGTATTTTTAATTTGTCCTAAAAATAAATATATGCAATAAATCACAAAACTAACTTTCACAATTTCATAAAACAATTGTATTGGCTAGTCTCCTAAAGAGGTGATGACACTTTTAAACCAATGCTGTGTGTAAATGTTGTAATGCCCTTAGAATTAAGGACAATCGTACTTTAAGATAATATAAGATAAAGGAGCGAACTGTAACACAGAACGCCTTCCTCACGGTGAATGACTTCTTTAACCAAATTAAATAAAACTTGCTAAATATTGTTATTATAAGTATATTAATTATATTAATTGCTATTGCAATTTCCAATTGAACCTTAATGATAACACTGCCTTGCTACACTTTTTAATTCTAATGTAGCTCATGTGGAGGATATCATGAATGACTCAGGCCTAAATGTATTTCATGATTATCTTTACACATACTGATTATTGATTCCATTTGTATATTTAACAAAACAAGGTAAATTAAAGCCTTGCAATGAATCTATGAATTATTACTGTAAGTCAACCATAGCTACATATACAGACATTACCAGAGGTCGTTCTGTCTCTGATCTGCCACTCGGTGTCCTCCACAGCCGTCTCGATGACCAGCTCCACCGTTTTTATCTCATCTTGTCCCCCACCGAGGCTCCACCTCAGTGGGCAGCTGTGTCTGGTTGTCCTCGGTGACTTCACATCACTCTTGAATATAGAGTGAAAAGTGTGTTACAATTTCAGAACTTTTTTTTTTAATTTTCAAAGTA